TGGCCTGTGGGCTGTAGAACTTGATGTCCGCGCGCTGTGGGTGCTCCCAGGACCTCCTCTTATCTGGGCTGGGACATCTTGGCTCCCTTATCTGCAGGGCAGCCAGCACTGGGTGTGCGGGAGAGGATCACGGGGGCCGGGGGGGTTGCAGCCAGGAGACAGAGGGGCCCCTTCCGTCACCCACCCACGGACTGGGTGCGACTTCAGCTGAGGAGGGCGGGGTAGGGGCACTTGGTCTCTTTCATGGGGCAGATGAATGGAGCCCAGACTTGGCACCCAAATAGAGATCCCAGTTCGGATCCTGGCTCAGCCACTTACTCTTTATGTGACCTTCACAATCTTCCCAAGCCTCAGTTTCCCCATCTGTAAAACAGGAAAAAAAGCACCACTAAATGCTGACAGTAATTTGTAGCGTTTGTCGAGCATTTGCTGGCTGCGTGCCAGGTGGTGATGTTCTAGGCGCCTGGCGCAATCCCGTTTGATGCTCACCAGACACCCCGTGAAGTACAGGCACTTTTTAGGGTGCCTGCTCAACCTAGCGCATGTGAGATCATCCATGCAAAGCCTTTGGCATGGGGCTGGGCTGAGAATGAACTTTCAATTCCTCTTAAATGTCATGGATGGGGAAACTAGGTTTGTCCTGGCAGCCACTTACCGTGTGAGGAGGAGGGGTGGAATGGGACCCCAGAAGGGGATGTTTTCTCTGCGTGTGACTGAGTGGGGGCGGGGGGGATGTCGGCTTGCCACAGCACCCTGGGGTCAGTGTGTAGTCCTAAAGGGTGGACCTGGCAGAGAAGAGAGATGTTAGGTCAGTGCAGAGGGGTGTGGAGCTGAGTCCCTGTTTGCACGGCCCCAGAGGAGGTTGGGAGGAGCCTGGCCCAGAACCCGGAGGGGAGAGAATGCTTCTTGAACGAGCCATGCGGGCGAAGCACTGCGTTCCCAGCTGCCTGAGAAATCCACAGAGGGAAGAGGGAATGAGCCAGTGAATGAACGCACGATGGGAGAGGTGCCGTGGCCTTCCAGGGTCACGAGGCAGGGCCCTGACCCTGACTGAGCATCGCGACAGCTGCGTAGTCTAAACTATGGATGTAAACACAGGCTTCCAGTCTCCTCTGGCCCCCAGCCCGAGAGGAAAGCGGTTGAGTACAGACTGCTGTCCAGGTCCCGTCGGGCACATCTGAGCGTGTTTTGGGGCCGAGATCCCCAGGGAAATGGAGCCCGTGAGCCTGAGGAGGGGGGCTGGTGCTGCGGAGGGTACCGGTCTGACAGGAGGGCCCAGAACAAGCCAGCACCTCCCTTACCTGCAGTGCCCCCCGTGTCCAAGCTCAGGCCCACCCGCCTCGTTTTTTCAAAAGACTCACTGAAAGACTCCATCTGGTCCAATCTGACCGTCTTTCATAAGGCAGACCCCTAATGCCCCTCTGCCGACACCCGGCGCGTCCTGGCCCCCCCCCCACACACACACACTTGGGAAAGGCTCTCACTCCCTGCTCCAGCCCTTCCCTTGTTGGTTGGAGGCCAGAAGTCAATGGAACACTGGTGATGAGGTTCAGGTTCACAAGGAGCAGGAAAGAGACCCTCATTCTGCAGGGTGGGCTCCAGGATTTCTCTGCTACTGTCCTCTGTTATCTTTTGTTGGGGAGAGGAGAGGTGGGGGCCCAGGGTCCAGGCCTCTCCCTTTTTTGTGAATTTCATTGAGCAGCGGTTCTCGAAGTTTGGTCCGGGGAATGTACGGCAGCATCCCTGGGTCCTGTGTTAGAAATGAAGATTCTCGGCCTCCACCCCGCCACCTGCTGAACCGGAAACTCTGGGGCACAGCTCTCCAGGGGACGGGCGATGCCTGCTCAGGTTTCAGAACCCCCGGTGCAGGGTTTTTAGCTGGCCCCACCTAGAGATTCCTAGGAAACTCTTGCTTGTCCAGCTGGGTGGTATCCTTGTCCTCCTTCCTGTCTCATTGCCCTAATTCAGCCTCATTATTTCTTGCCAAATGTAAGATCAGATGTTTCCAGTAACAAGTATCAAAAAGGATTAATTGACACTCACCTTCCCAGGAGAAGGCATTAATTGGCTTGCACGTCCTATTTAAAAAGTCCAGAGGGAGGGCGGGTGTGAAGGGAAGCTGGAGCAGGGCTCGGTCACCCTGCGATTCTGTCCTCTGTGTATTAGCTTCATCTACGCACTGGCTTCCCTCATGGCTGCAAAGAGGCTGCCTGCAACCGTCAGGGCTGTGTGCTTCCTAATCTGCTCCAGAGGGAGATGACACAGCATCTCGAAACATCAAGCAGAACTCACCAGCTTTTCTCTGAATAGACCAGCCCTGAACCAGCCATCTAGCAAGAGGCAGAGAATTGCCCTGATACGGTTAGGCGCCCCCTTCCTGCCAGGGATGAGAGGCGTCCCATCCAGCTCTTACAGCTGTTTCAGGCAGGGAAGGGAGGTGATACTGTGTGTGCAGGGTGAAGGTAGCCAGGTGCCCACGGCTCCAGGACTGGTCAATCAGCCCTTTTGCTTCTGCCCCAAATCCACTCATCCCTGGCTTTCCCAGCTTCCAGAGGTAATACATCCAGGGGCAATTCCCTGAAGCGGAAATCTGCCCACAACACCCCTTCTTAAACCCTTCAGTGGCCCCGGCCGGGCAGCTCAGTTGATCAGAGCGTCGTCCCAATACACCAAGGTTGTGGGTTTAATTTTCACTCGGTGTGTACTAAAAGCAACCAATGACTCTATTGATAATTGGAATAGCAGATTGATCTCTCTCTCTCCCCTTTTCCCTTCCTCTCTCTAAAATCAATTTTTAAAAATATTTCATTTATTTATTTTTAGAGAGAAGGGAAGGGAAGGAGAGAGAGGGAGAGAAACATCAATGTGTGGTTGCTTCTCATGTGTCCCCTGCGGGGGACCTGGCCTGCAACCTGGCCAGGCATGTGCCCTGACTGGGAATCGAACCAGCAACCCTTTGCTTCACAGGCCCGTGCTCAATCCACTGAGCTACACCAGCCAGGGCCTCTAAAATCAATTTTAAAAAATTAAAGTAAAAAAAACGCACAAAATGGGGCGGTACCAAGTACCAAGTCATGATTTTTTTGTTTTGTTTTCAGTTTATTTTTGTTTTTGCATCGCGCAAAAGGCATGAAGACGTGAAACATTTAAAATCAAAACGAGGGGTTAAAAAAAAAAACTTTCAAAAACAGAGAGGGAAAGCCAAACCATTTTGCTGGGCCACATCGATGGGCACCGCTCTGGGCAACACCGAGAACTGCTCTGTCCAAAAACACTTCGCACTTGCTAAGTGCGGGGAGAGGATACTGATTCCTTAGAAGCACCCGTCAGAGTCCGCACATGGATTGTGAAGTATCGTGGGCTCAGTCCTGGCCTAGAACCAAGCGTTGGTACATGTATTCATGGGAGTAAAACCAAAACTCAGCTCGGAGCTTCCCAGCAGCCAAGGCAAGACAAAACAAAACAAAAAAACAAAGGGGGAAGTATAGGGGTCCCAGAGCTCTCGAATAGCAGAAGAAGAAGCAGAGGAGCCGGCGGGGTCTCATGCTCTCCTGGTGCTGAACTCGGGGACCAGGGGTCTCGGGGACCTTGGGTTAAGGGTGTGGTGCAAGGAACAACTTCACCGAACAAGGAAGGAACCGCTGGGTTTGACCAGCTCTCACACCGCCTCCTGATAATAACTGCGCGTGCGTTGCTCAGCCAGTTCTCATTTTCTGCAGGAAACCCGAGTAACCTAGCCCGAGTGTGACCCTTGCAGGTGACTTTGTTTGCTAGAGATTTAACAAGCCCATACTCAGTGGCGTGGCTTTCACTTTCCTAACTGCCTCAAGACATTGGAGGTAGAAGTGATGAGTTTCATTTCACGGATGAGGAAATCGGGGAGAGTAAGTGGCTGACCCAAGGTCACATGGCCAGTGAAGTGGCACCACCAGAACGTGGACTGAAGCCCACCACCTCCCCCTTTCCGGCTGCCCCCTGTCAGAGCGGGGAGGGGTCGGCCCTCTGGCCGCCCTGCAGGCAGTGTGTCTGCCTTCCAACCGGCAGGAGCGGGGAGTGTGGGGGACTCTGGGGGTGGCTCCAGGTTTGTGTCACTTCCCAGCTTTTCCACCCGCCTGAACCCCACTTTAAGGGAAAAGAGAAAACACATTTGCACGTATGAGCCCAGAGGGGCCGAGAAAGAGCGAACCACAGGGGGAGGCCTGTGTCGGTCCTCAGGACACCTTTTACTCTGATTCCATCCCCTGCCCTGGGGCTGGGAGCCCTTTGAGGGCCTGGGCCTGGTGGTTCCTCCAGGGCCTGCTACCGATGGGGTGTGTGGTAGCTGTGTACTGAACGAATGGATGATGAATGAATGGATGAATGGATAAATAAATGAATGGATGAACGGATGAATGGATGAACGGATGAAGTTATGAGTACTTGCCTAAATGACCAGAGGGTTAGAAAATGTGCTTTCCAGTCGGGGACCTGCCACGAAACAGTCTGACTGTGGTCAGTCACCTCCCCTTTTTGGACCTCAGTTTCTCTATCCGAGCTGCTCTTCGAGGCTTTGCCATCCTCATGTTCCGAGGCTACCGGAGCCCCGGGCTCTGGAAGATGGGAGGAGATAGGAGACAGGGGCCGAGATTCCAGAAGGACTTGGCCGGCTTGTAGGTGTGGTGTCCTCTGAGACCCTTGGCTGTGGAGCGTGGAAAGGGAGACGGCGGGCAAGTGGGGACCGGTGAGCAGGACAGGCCGGAGGGGAAAGAGGGAGCATGTGCTTTGGCTGAAAGGGCTGTTCACTGGACCTGCGGGTATCCATGGCAACTTGGTTTTGCTTTTTCTGGAAAGTGAATTGCCCTAGCAGCCCCCCTGGGCATTAGAGCCTCTCGTGAGTGTTGCAGGGAGTGCAGTGCAGGCTGCTGAGGCCCCGGGGCAGAGCAAGGAGAAGCCCCGGGGGTCTCCCCATCTTGTGGGCTGTGCGAAAGGCTCATTGTTACTTTGCTTTGTGTTTTCTGCAGATCATGATCGAGTTCTGTCCTGGGGGAGCAGTGGACGCCATCATGCTGGGTGAGTCTGCCTTGGTCCAGCGTGGGGGTGGCGGGGTTGGCTCCATCTAGGGCAAGGGTCCTTCACTCCCCCACCTAGTAGCTCACCTGGCCTGTGAGCACCTCCCACTCTGTTCCTGTGGGGGGCAGGCTGGGGGTGGGCTCCTGGAGAGAAGGCTTTTCCCCAGTGGGAAGAGCCAACACTCATCCTGGTCAGAGCCTGGTGTCCCTGAGCTGGTCCCCCGCTGCCTTGAGCCTTCTTGGCCATGAGACAGACACCAGGACTCCTTTGTCCTGCCCTACAGCACTCACAGGAGGTGAAAAGGAGACACCTGAGGGAGGTTCTTTGAAAAGTGGGGGTCCCGCCAATTTTGTAGGAACTTAATGGGGATGTTGTTGTGATGTCCGCAGCAAGCTTGAGCCATGACAAAAATATATAGAATGATCACCGCGGTTGGGGAACAGACACTATATACTGGAGGGGGTGGAAGCTGCTTTCACGTGTATGATCCTCATGTACAAAACCCGGAGTTGCTGCGTTTCCCTCGACCTGACCGACATGGCGGAGGTTACAGAGCCGGCCCAGGGCCAGCCGGCAGAGCCGAGTTGTGCACCTGGGTCTGGGGGGCCCAGCTCCTAACTGCTGCTCACTTCTCATCACCCCCACACTTGCCGACCTGGTGGGCAGGGTGCGAGGAGAGGCTGAGGGTCTGGGGCCCCAGGGGGTTAAGTGACCTGTCCAGGACTCCGGGGTGGCTCAGGAGAGCAGAGGCCCTCAGAACCCTGATTGCAGTGCCATTCAGGCACTTTCTTTTATTGGGAAGAAGGTGTCGTCCCCGAGTTTGTCACCGTAATGTCTCTGGTGTGTGGCAGCCCTTCCCCACCTGAGCCGTGGAAGTGCTGGCCTTCCTTGCTGAGCCCCTTGCCACTCCCAGAGTCCCCAGGTGGGAGACAGGATAGTGGTACTTGGGACATGGCCATCTGGAACAGCCCCTCTCAGCAGAATCCTGCCCTTGAAGCTTTTTATTGTTCTGGGCAGATTCTAACAAAATAAAAATGGTGGTCTGGTCTTAGTTCAGACTCTTCAGGTTGTAAGGAGACTGTTCACACTGGGCTAGGGGAAAAATAGTTGGTGGGAGGGGGAATTTTCACAATTAACTGAAAAGTCCAAGGGTCTTGCTTCAGGCATGGCTTGATCTAGGAGTTTTTATAGAAGTTGTCAGAAGAGCTCGGTTCACCTTCCAGTCTCCAGCGGCACCACTACCGCCAGCTCGTCAGCCCCCAGGCCTTTGCTTCTGCAGGGTCCTTGGCCTGGAGTGACCTTTTTTCCTCTCAGACACTCTTCTTCCTTCAAGACACAGCTGGAATGCCCTTTCCTCTGGGGAGCCTGCCATTCCCCACTCGAAGGGGGCTGCCACCCAGCCTGCCCTTCTTCCCACCCGAATCCTACTCTGCCCCAGCATTGCTCATCGTTCCCACGCCCCTCCTGTTTCCCTGCACTGAGCACGGAGCCTGACACGGAATCAGCGTCGCTCAGTCCTGCTCACAGACCTGAGCTCTGAGGCCAGACCCACTGGCTGGAATCCCAGATTGGTGACCCAACCTCTCTGAGCCTCCGCTTCCTCCTCTGTAGAATGGGGCAGTCAGGGTGTCTGCTCCAGCAGGCTGCCGTGGGGAGGCAATAGGTAACAAGTGAGGTGCCGGACGTGAACCCAGCGCGCAGTAAGTGCTCAGTAACGTTGGCGGCTTTTGTGTTTCTTGCACCTGCTGACCGCCCGACACTGTGTGGCCTGCAGCGAGCGCCTGCTGAATTGACAACAGTTCCTTCTGTTTGCAGAGCTGGACCGAGGCCTCACCGAGCCCCAGATTCAGGTCGTTTGTCGCCAGATGCTAGAAGCCCTCCACTTCCTGCACGGCAAGAAGGTCATCCACCGGGACCTGAAGGCCGGCAACGTGCTGATGACCCTGGAGGGCGACATCAGGCTGGGTAAGCGTGGCTGCCGGCGGGGGGGTGTTGCCTTGGCCTCTGTGGGCAGGAGGGCGCAAGGGTGGGGGCCTCACTGTGTGGCCACCCAGGAAGTGACAGCCCTCGTCCAAATACAGCTCCCGTGGGCTCTCAGCAGATGGTGATTTTGTCCCCCGGGGGACATCCACAGTTCTGACAACTTAGGGAGAGACACTGGCATCTGGTGTGTAGAGGTGAGGGATGCTCTAACCCCAAGAGCGCCCAGGACACGGCCCCTCGACACGAGTGGCGCCGGTCCCGCCCATCGCTGTTGTCTCTGATTGGTCGAGGGGACCCAGCGAGGGGGCAGAGGGCGGGCCAGGCCATTCCCAGGGAGGAGCTGCACGTTAGGACTCATGTCAGAACCTCGTTTTTGTATGTCTCCTCTCTCTTTGGATGTTTTTTCAACTGTGATAAAATGCCCACAACGGAAGCCTTATCGCCTTAGCCACCGCTGAGTGGACAGCTCGGGGGCGCTTGGCACAAGGACGCCGCTGTGCTGCCGTCCCCACCATCAGCTCCAGGACCGTGACTTTCATCGTCCCAAACTGAGACTGTCCCCATGAAATGCTCCCTGACCGCAGCCCCCGCCCCCTCCTTTCCCCGACTTCTCTACGAAGGTCACAGCTCTAGACCTCATGCAGGTGACAGTGTCCATCCTTTTGTGTCTGGCTTTTCTCACTGAACATAATGTCCTCAAGGATCATCCCGGCCTAGCACAGCTCAGACTCTCTTCGTAGTGTTAATTTTCTAAAACCACATAACGCACACACGTCCTGTGTTCCCACCGCACCGTCTACCCCAGAGGTTATCACAGGTGACTCCTCTCATTTGGCTTCTGCATTGCTAAATCATAGGCCTGTAAAGCTATTTTTAAGTGATTTTTATTGTTTGGTGAAAAGTAATAATGGTCATTATACAAAATTCACACCGTACGGGAAGGTTCAAAGGGGAAAGCGGGGACGTGCCCCCAGCCCCTTGTCCTGACATCGGCCCGGTTGTCATCCCAGGAACCTCTGTGCTCGGGAGGTGTGCAGCCAGGGAGGGCTTAGCGGGACGGAGCTCTCTTGTTTATCAGTCGGGCTACATTTAATTTCGCTTTCTGTTAACACCCTCCTTTGATGGTAACGCGGTTCCTCCATCTGCCCGGCCCCCGTCCCTCCAACACAGAAGTGCCCCCGTTGGACTTCCCCTGGTGGCGGCCCTCGTCTGCCTCCGTCAGGAACCTCTTCCTCATGTCCACAGGGACCTGCACTGCCATTGAGCCCCAGTGATTGAGAACTGCAGGGACAGTCCCGGGGCTGGAACACAAGTGGCACAGGCTCGGCAGCAGGAGGACACTCCGAAGCTCAGAGAGGGCGAGCCGTGGGTCCTAGAGCTGGAGGGGCCAGGGCCGGGCTGACCCAGGCACGCTGACCCACATCACGGCACTCACCTTCCCGGCTTAGGGCAGGGCTGGGCCTTACCAGATGGGTTCAAGGCGGGCCGGTCCCCGTAGTTAGGGCATCTCAGACCCCTGGGGGCTCAGGTTGCTGGGCCTGGCTGCCAGGGTTTCGGATGCGGCAGTTCTGGGATGGGGCCCAACCACTCTGTTCGGTCTAAGGGCCAGGCCACTGGACTGGGGTAGCCTCACTTAGAGAACCACTGCTCGAGACCCTCCCACCCTGAGTGTGGCCGGTGGCAGCACCGTATTAACTGGGAGCTCGTTAGCAGGGCTTGTGATCCAGAGCGTGGGGTGGCGTCCATCCTGAACAGCAGAGAGGAAGGGCTCTTCGATGGGAGCGGGAGCCGAGCCATGCCCTGATCTGTGACTCAAGGCTGGCTGTTCCTCTTCCTCGTTCCCTCTTTGAGCTGGAGGGGTTAAGTGCGGACACTCTGGATCTGAGAGACCTGGGCTCAGACTAGCTCCGTGTGACCTTGGCTAAGTCACCTAACCTGTTGCCCGTCCATTTCTTCATCTATAAACTGGGGTGATGCTGAAACCTCCCTCAGACAGTGTGTTACCAGGTACAAGAACACAGGTGTGTGCTAAGCTCCAGTGCCTAATTGCGCCAGGCCCTGTTCTGGCCTGGGGGCGTGGGATGAGGCCCTGTCCTCCTCCTGCTCAGTCCCCAGGCCCCTGGCCTGGGGCCCAAGTGTAAAAGAGGCTTCAGTGAGAGAGTAGCTTCAGCTGAGCTGTGCAGGGTGGGCAGGTATCTGCCAGGTACGCCAGCTTGGGCCGGGCAGTCCAGCAAGGGGGCACCTAGTGGGCAGAGGCATGGAGGTGAGAACCAGGTTTTTGGGGGAGCGATAATAAAAGTAACAACACACCTTCATTGGGTTTATGAAGCTGCCGCTATTAGAAAAGGCACTTGCTGGACGTCATCTCATTTTATCAGCACTCCAGGGTGTGTGTGGGCCTCTGTGTGTTTGTGTGTGTGTGTGTACACATGTTACCTAACACAGGCAAGGACACTGAGGCCCACGGTGAAATAAGATGCCCAAGATCAAGGCTGGTCTCCAGGAGGAAGTAGCAGAGTTTGGCCTTCCTGATGTGACAGCTGCCAGTGGCCTGACTCAGCGGAGAATAGAGCATGGTTGGCTGGGGCGGGGCTGGGTCAGGGAGCACCCGAGGCCCTGGAGGACCCAGGGGCAGAGGACAGTCTCTTGTGCTCTGGGGAATTCAAGGATCAGCCTGGGAGAACTGATCACTCGGCAGAACACAGAGAACCTGGGCCAGGGCCAGGGCCGGCCCCGGGGTGGGACCGGGTTGGAGGGAAAGCCCCAGCAGCCACGGGCTGAGACGTGCCCAGTGGGGTCCTCATTTCCCACGCTGTCCCCGCTGCATAGCCCTGGAGGGTGCTGAGGTGCCGGTTAGGCCCCAGAACCCCACTGCAGCCCTAGCAGAGGGTGGATGGGAGCAGATGGGCGCATCTGGTCTCCAAATGACTTGGCACATGCAATCGAGAGCATCAGAAGGCCAATTAAGAAGGAAGAATGTTCAGGGAGAGTTGAATCTGTGACTTGACATAATTGTCACCAGCTCTGGAGCCTTGGGGTAGACGCCTCCTGGGGCCTGTTGTTCTGTTTAGGAAAAGCCTGCTCCCCCTGGAATCTGCCCTGGCAGAGGAGGCCTGTCTTGCTTCCCGGGGACTCTGTCGGGCCCCTGGAGGCATCCCCTCCCCGAGTCCTTATGCAACTCAGCGGGGGCAAGAGAGAATTGATTGCTCAGCAGATCTTTGTCCCAAGCAAGGGCCTCACCTCAAGGGAGACTGCCTCCTCTGTGCTTCTCAATACTGCTGCAAATAAACAGGAAGTGGCAGGGTGAGCTGAGCAGAGTGTGGGCTGGAAACACAGAGAGGCCCGGTTCAGATCCTGGCTCCTCCACTTCTGAGCTGGAGGAACATGGCGGACTGTCCAAACCTCAGTTCCTTCATCTGTGCAATCGGTACAACCACAGACCAGCCTCACAGGGCTCTTGTGGGGTTGGTATGCACAGCCCGGGGGCTCAGGGTTACAGCTCTCCCTGCTGCTAGGCCTTTTGTTTCTTCCTTGTGTTAAATGTTTACTTCTGTCTAGGATTTCAGGCTTCCTCGGTGGTTCGTGTGACAGGTGCTAAGAGAAGCCCAAGTTGCTGCTCTGGGTGGGTGTGAAGCTGTCCTCTGTGGCAGCTGGGAATCCATTCATGCAGAGAGAAAAAGGAGCGGTACCTGCCTCCCGAGACAGTTGGGATATTAAGTGGGGTGTGGACTTCGAAGTCCAAAAATCTGTGTTTTTGTCCCGGACCTGCTACTTGGCATTGGGTGCCCTTGGGCAAGTCACCTCATCAGCACCAGTTTCTGAAACTTAGAGGAGGGTAATGGTTGCCGCCTTGCTGGTGCGATGGGTTGGCAAGACAGAGCCTGCAAAGTGCCTGTAGGTGCACAGTGCATGGCAGGGGCCCAGCAGCGTGAGGTTTCTTTCCTCTGCTGAGGGCTCTCTCAGAGCAGCTGCGCACGAGAAGGGCTTATTCCCTGTTCTCCGAAGAACCAGCGTTCCTTTCCCCAGACGGGCTTCATGGAGGGTGGGAGGTGACTTCCACACCTTTTGCGGTCTTTCAAGTTCTAAGCAGAGGCCTGCGCTGTTCTAAAAATCAGTGCTCAGCACAGAGCCTGGCACAAAATAGGTGCTCAATAAATCGTAGCTTCCAGCATTTCGTGACTTTACCAGTTTATGATTTCTGCAGGGTCCCTGACTTCTAAAGTCTTGCTGCTATACAGGAAGCCTAGCAGGTGGGCCCACCTGGGCCCCCACCCAGAATTCCTCTTTGGTGCCGCCAGCTGGCTGGGGTCCTGGTTCTTCCACTATGGCTCCCATGCACTGATCCAGTGTTCAGTACGTAGTATTTCATTTAATCTTCAGCTGTGACTGATGGCAGTTTACAGAGGAGGGATTTAGCAATCAAAGAGGTTAATTAATTTGACCAGGGTACACAGCTATAGGAAGTGGGGTTCAGACCAACGCATCTGGCTCCAGAGCCCATGCCGTTCACACTGCCTGTTTTTAGAGGTTTTTGGTAGCAAACATGAAAAAACCCTTTCCTATGAATGGGCAGACGGGACAGTGTGTGTATGTAAGTATATGCAATGGGTCTGGGGAAGAGAGACCGCTGGTTGGGTGTCGAGGGGGGCTGGACCCCATAACACAGACACCACACAGACGCCCTTCAGTGTCCATGTGTGTGTTAGGCTCTCAGACCCACCTCTCCCTAAAGCTAATGCCAAGGTCTTTTACTTTTCCCAGCCTGGCCTGCAGGATGAGCTGAACCTTACCATTTCAGATCAGAATCAATAATCCCACAAAGGGCTCTGATTGGTCCAGCTTGGCTCAGGGGCAGATCCTTAGACCAATCAATGAGGCCCAGGGAGAGGGGCTGTTCTGATAGGCCCAGCTTGTGGTCAGTGTCCTGGGACCGGGGGCGGAGCCACAGGCAATGCGGAAGTCCTCGTGCCCCTCACAGAACA